GAGATGACACTATCCCACCTAAATATATACATCTCCTGGATGATGATGACCAGGTAAATGAAGGCAAATGGCTATGAGGGCCTACAGGTATTTTGTACCCTAGATTGGGTTTCCACTGCAAAACTTTTTTTTTTTTTAAACCTCACTTGAAATGAATAGAAGGTACACTTTAACAATAGCATAAAAATGTAACATGACTGACTGTGTTTAATGGGTCCCCAATGCTAAAGAGCACACTGCCTGGAATTCTATTTAATATTTATTTGATCTGGTATTGATTGCTGTTCACTATGCTGGGCGCTTTAATATAAACAGAGATGAATAATATTCGGTCACTGAGTGATTCTAAGACAGAAGAATTCCTTTGTAGGAAAAGATTATAAAAATGACTAATGCCATGGGATTCCAAAAGAAGCAAGATTCTCTCTCTTTAGGCAGAGCAGAAAAGGAGCAATTGTTGGAATAATTAAACAAATAAGACACCTCCAAGACCTGGGGTCTCCCTTTCTTCCTTCTGTGCTACCACCAGCACTGTTGATTGTGAGTGAAGATCCTTTCCTATATCTAAATGCACTCTGTCAAGAAGTCACTGGTCTTTTGTCTCTGACTTGGAAGCCAGTTTTTCTTGGGTGTAGATCAACCTGGCCTGCCCTCTTTTTTAACTCAGCTCCTACTTGTGAGTCAATTACAGGATAAATAACCCTTCCCATGCCTCTTCATCAAATAAGAACAAGGAATTCCAAATTACATCCCTCTCTACTCTTTCTGTACTGATTATTTGGTGGGTAAAATGATCCCCTGGCTTAAGTAGTGCTATCAGTGTAGCGTTCTACTTACTTAGAAAACTAAGTAACATATATAAAACCAGTGTCTCCACTGTCAGAATCAGTTATCCTTGCTCCTGTTCAGTATTCCTCAAAATAGCAACTGTGCATCTTGTACAGAGTACTGTAATCCTCCCTGCATTGATAATACCACCTGACCCCGATTATTTTTTGGGAAAGGTATTATTTAATGCCCTTACCTTTGAAGGTGGGAAAATCCCTCATGTGTTGTATTTGTAATCCTGTCTGAAAATAATCTAATAATAATTATCTGTATGGCATTCCCATGCCTCAGATCTTTCCTGAGTGTAATAAGCTGTAGTAAATGAAACATAAAGACATAAGTTACTTTTTTTGTAACATTTTAAGTAGAATTATAACACATAATAGCAGAAACTTCCTAAATAGTGTTTTCTTTCACTTCCAGGACCAGACTATCTTTCTTACATTTTCCACAAGTCTATCAAAATGCTTCTAAGACCAGTAATGAAGCAGGGACTCAGGTTTATCAGTTATTGCAAATCTATACTCCATTTTATTCAGGTCAAGTCACTGAATAATAATTGTATAAATAATGACTCCACCTAGGTAAACCTTTACAAAGATCTGTATTTAACCAGTAGTCCGTCTGCCTTGTTTTTAAGGGCAAACCAGAGGCGCCATCTACAAAGAAACCCAAGGAATCAAAGGTAAATACCATAGCAGTATGTTTTGATTAAAAAAATTAATTTTAGCTATAACTTTATTTTGTATTAAACAAAATAAAATTTATTGAATGATTACCCTATGCTTGGTACTGTCAAGGTATGCATGTTAGAGGAGAGAGAGAGAGAATGTGTGTGTGTATAATTTGTCTAATTTAGTCCTCACCAGAACCTGTTAAGAAACTTAACACAGGACCATATTCCAGATTAGAAAACGGGCTCAGAGATAAGTAACCTGTATACAAGTAGAAGAAAATAAAACTACCAAGATTTTCATGTTTTAATATTTTCTTTGCAATGCATTATTGTTAGGAAAAGAAAATCATCAAGTTTTTTATCTTCCTTTTTACATAAACATCCTTTATTTTTAAATGATGTGAGGAAATGTCCCACATAGCATTTTTGCCTTATCTTCTTCGCTGATAACTCTTTCTATTAATGTTTCAGAAACCTGCGGATGACCAAGACCCCATTGATGCCCTATCAGGAGATTTAGACAGCTGTCCCTCAACTACAGAGACCTCACAGAAAGCAGCAAAGGTACTATACTTTTTCATATTGACTTTCTTTAAATGTGTGCATGCACACATGCGTGCATATGTGTGTACATACATATAATCTTTAAACTATAAAATGAATAGAGAACTCGAAAATAGAGAAAAGGAAAATTATCTATAATTCCGCTACTCCCACAAACACTATTATTATTTGGTATATTCCCTTTGTCTTTTTCCATTTGTATATATTTTACATAGTTGTATTTATTTATAGTCCATATATAAGTACATTAAGGAGCCTAGTGGCACAGTGGTTAAGTGCTAACTGAAAGTTCAACGATTTAAACTCACCAGCCACTCCATGGGAGAAAGATGTGGCAGTCTGCTTCCCTAAAGATTTAAAAAAGAACAAAACTGTTGCCATCAAGTCAATTTTGACACATAGCGACCCTATAGGACAGAGTAGAATTGCCACATAGGGTTTCCAAGGAGCAGCTGTTAGATTTGAACTGCTGACCTTTTGGTTAGCAGCCAAGCTCTTAAACACTGTGCCACCAGGACTCCAGGCCTCTAAACGTTACAGTCTTTGAAACTCTATAGGGCAGTTCTACTCTGTCCTGTAGGGTCGCTGAGTCAGAATATACTTGACAGCACACAACAACATATAAGTAAGCTGCTTCATGTTACTTCATAAATGTTTTTCATGTTGCTATATAATTTTCCTAACAATCAGTTTTGATTGCCACATTATATCATTGTGTGACAATAATGCTTATGCCTTTAATACTATCCTGTGTTCATTTAAAATGAAACAGTCCCTAACTACACCACACCTCCTTGTGTCCATGTGCCATCTGGGGCTTCTCCCCGTCCTGCCCTGCCCAGCTGGCTGACTCTCCTGCTCATTCCTTAGGGCCCAGCTCAAGCATCAGCTCCCTCAGGAAGACTTCGCTTACTACTGCTCCCCTCCAGGCCTCTCCTCCATGTTCTCCCCGCACTCTAGGTTACCTGTCTTTACATGTGTATTCCACCACTAGGCTGCGTACTTTATACAGAAATTATGTCTTCCACCTCTGTGTGTGCTCAGCATTAGCAAAATGGCCTGGTACAGACCTGGTGCTCAAAATGTGATTAAAAGTGAGTGGAATGAAAAAACTAATGTGTATTTCAGCAAGTATGGTGCATTTTACCTATAAACCACCCTCAGAAATCAAATAGAAAGAAAAGTGAGTACCCTTCATTGCCATTTTCAGAAGAATTAATACTGCAGATCACAGTTTACTGCTGTTTTGGCTGTCTTTAAGCCTAATTCTCAATCACTGAATTGTCAGTCCTTCCCATAGAGGGTGATTTAATTTCTAGACCACCTCTGCATCCTGTTTCTCACTTCTGTTATTGTTGTTAGGTGCTATCTAGTTAGTTCTGACTCATAGCGACCCTATGTACAACAGAACGAAACTCTATTTATGAGTTTCTCACTCCTGGAAACTCCTAGATAATGCCCTGTTGGTGAATGGACTTTATATGTAACCTGCTCCAGATCTCTGGTTGTTTCCATTGTTAAATTCTTCTCCGTAACGCTGAAAACAGTGTCCTGTTTTGCTCTGTTTGTACATAAAAGCCAGTTCTTATAGAGTCAAGTTCTATTTGAATGAGCTAAGTAATTTCTGAATGAATCGTGCATCATGGAAATTGGCAGAGAACATCACTGTGACCCACATGACAACATATTTCCCTCCTTATTTTTATCCTCCTTACCTCCTACCTTAAACACTTCTGTGTACATTCATCTTTGTTCAAAAAATCATAACTAAAACACCCAGAGTTTTCCATTATTTAATTAAATTGGGGATTCCAGCCTACTAAAAAGAATAATTTGGACTAACTTGAATGCAAGCTAGTAGTTAATTGCTAGATGGATTGATAATAGCAATAGCCTCATTACATTTCCTTTGCGTTAGGACAAAGACAAGAAGACTGATTCCAGCACCAAAGCACCCAAGAATGGGGGTAAATCAAAGGCGTCAGCAAAGGTAAATATACAATAAATTAGTTTAGCAATCATGTCGAGTGGGATTTATCCTTTTAGTGATTTAGCTTCTTATTGGAACTTGTTTAAACTAAAAGATTTTGTACGTATTATCTCCTCACATGTCTTGCTAAAGAAATTGAATTTTTAAAGACAGTTGTTGCTTAAGTAACTGGTGCTTTAGAAATTTAAATGAACGTTCTTAACTCAGGTCAAGTTGCCTACCTTCCCCACTCTTGTTAAAACACACCATAAAACCAAAACCAACCCTGTTGCTGTTGAGTGGATGTCAACTCATAGCAACCCTATAGAACAGAGTAGAACTGCCCCATAGGATTTCCAAGGAGTGCCCGGTGGATTTGAACTGCAGACGTTTTGGATAGCAGCCGCAGCTCTTAACCACCAGGGTTTCCAAAACACACCATAGTATGTGGTTTATATAAATTTTAGAATATGGAAGTAGTGTATAGAATTAGGAGGAAATCTTAGAGTTTCTGTCATTCGGTATATTTATTAGTCAACATGTAGGAGGGAGATGGACTATTGGTACATAAGTTTTCATGTTGCTCTAGAAAGTAGAACTAAGGCTAATAAGGGAAGTTATAGGTTCCAGTTTTTGATAGTTGGCTATTAAAAGGACAACATTTGGGAGATTCCTTCTACTAAAATTACTCTAGCTGTGGTCAGGAATGGAAGTTGGATTGTACAACTTCTAGGTCCCTTCCAATTCCAAGAACGTATGATTCAAATCACTGTGACTATGGATCCTCCTACTGTAATGAGAAGTTAAAGGTGAGCTTTAAAAAAATAGTCCAGTTGCATCAAAATGCTTAAAAGCAAGATACTTAAATCATCCTATATAGGATACTGGTGGCGCAGTGGTTAAGAGCTATGGCTGCTAACCAAAAGGTCGGCAGTTCAAATCTACCACCTGCCCCTATGGGGCAGTTCTACTCTGTCCTGTAGTGTCGCTATGGGTCGGAATTGACTCGATGGCAACAGGTTTGGTTGTTTTTTTGTTCGTTTGTTTTTTACAGTAGGATACAAGACACAGGATTGATAGTTAGCAGTTACTCATGCCATTGTATCCCAAATAAATATCCGCTTATTTCACTTATACAAAGTACATGACCAACCCATTAACAAAAAATAGGAAGCATAATAACCTATATGATGGGTGGGTTAGCAGGCCAGCTACCAGTAACTCAAGTACCAAACGAAGATGGATCACTGTAGGATGATCCAACACTGCCAGTCAAGAACGACTGTGCGTGTTTTCTCTTTCCCTAACACTAGCCTCAAAAAAAATTTTTTTTAAAAAGTAGAGTCAGGAAGTTAGGATCCCTTAAGGTTATTTTTAGCTTATAAACTTAGAAAGAACTCAGTGTTTTGGCCAGATGAGAAGGAGGAACTTAGAAAGAGGGACATCTTTTGCCCCTTTTATTCTGAGAAGTTCATCTCTTCCTGAACTTCTTCTGATTGATCAGTTTTTTGTACTTAATTCAGAAAAGAGTGAGCTCACTGATGATTTTGCTTTCCCTTTTAGGCAAAGGAAGAAGCTTCCAAGCCAAAAGCAGATGAACGAAATACAAGTTAAAGTTCACAGTATTTGGTAAGTTGGGTATTTGTTTTAAATGAAGACAACTGTACTTTCCACCAACCTATGTGTTATAGCTGAGAGAGAACCTTTGCCTACCTCTTGAGTATTTCATACTGTAGATTATTGGCATAAAAGGCACATTTCAAAATCTATAATTAGTCTCTGAAAAGCAGGCACTAAATGGGATGATTGTGCTACAGGAATGTTTGAAAGCATTAATCTTTTAATTAAGATCATTTTACAATATTAGGCCAGGTTGTTAAAGAAAATAGCCTTGTAAGGCTAATTGAATCTTTGAAATCCAAATGCTCATGACTGCAGATTATTGGTGGCAAAGCAAAGGTAGCCTATTACAACTTGTAATGAAATGTCATCAAGTTACTGATATTGCTCAAAATACCAACACATGGTGGGGTGCAGAGAAGTACTCTCTAGGGTCTGGTGGAAATTACAGGGTTTTTGGAACCAAGGGCAAAGGAAAAGATTGACCACATTTATTCTTCTTAGTTTTGGAAAGTAAAGTACTATGTACGATTCTACTTTATGGTGATTGAAGAGATCTGAGGGATGAGGGAATCTCGGATCTAGCTTGAGAGCTGAGCCCATGTCTTAACCTCCTTAGAGAGGTGAGGTCTTATTCTAAGCCATGAAAGCATACAACCACCAGTTGATCACTTTCCAAAGCCTAAAGAAATCAAAACGTAGGTTAAATGGGGTTAGGCTCTCTCACCATAATCAATTTTTATTTCACATAAAGAAGGCGGTATACTTGTTAGAGCTGCTCCAAAGGTTTTTTCCCAATACTTTTAAAAAATTTTCTACTAATAATTCATTCCCACATCCGCTTACAGGAAATTCCTTCTTATCACCTGTTATATAATGCATTTGATACATAGTATGTTTATAATGCCTGTAACAAGAAAATTACATATCAAATGGTTCACTGGATTGTTTTATTTTAAGGTATCTGCAGATGAAGTCTTCTGCTGGTGGATGGTGACTTTTGAAGAACAAAAGACTGGCAACAGAAAAACTTTTTCTGGGTGGCTTCTAGACTGCTATTTGTTGAGTCTTTGGACATCCTAAATATTGATTTGTTATTCTTTTCCAGGAAAAAATTGAATTTCTCTGGTTTACCTGTG